TCAAACGTGAATGTCTACTGTGCAGCAGTGCTACCTTGAACCAACGCGTGGGCAGCAATAACCAAGGTCAACTCAACTCAACCCACTGGAGGGATGTGCGTGAGTGTGTGCGTGCGCGCGCGCGTGTTCCCAGTGCCACGGATTACAGTGCAACGCCTGTAGATTTATAGTGGCGATAATACTTGAACCTTTTGTTATTGAAGAAAATAATGTTGTCAGAGTGAGCTCAGCCACTCTTAGTGTAGCTTGGCTCACCAACACGCGTCACTCGAGGGACGAGTGTGTGCGTGTGGGTGTGGATGTGTGTGTATCTAGTGGCGAGAAGTGCAGTGCAACGTCCGTATACTTCTCGCATCGATAACACTGGTCTACAAAAAATATTTTTTTTTTCTGGCATGAAACCTTTTAACTGTTTTTTACTAACTTTAAGGTGCTGAATCCAAATCTGATCTCAGATTTGCTCCATCACGTAACGTGCCAGAATTTACTGAGCTACCAGAGATTGAGGATATAGACCGGAATTCACCTGTTTTTACTGATGAAGATGAAGAGACTGATCTTTTCAAGCCATCTGGTGAAGATTGTGAAAAGCCAACGTTGTTTACTCAGTCAGAATTGAATGATCTGGTCAGAGATCTAAATTTGCCAAAACAGTCTGCTGAATTGTTAGCTTCCAGGCTTCAAGAGAAACGACTCTTAAAACCTGGCACGAGTGTCTCCTTTTATCGCAACAGAGAAGAGCAACTGCGGAAGTACTTTCATTCATATGACCAGCTTGTTTTTTGTAATGATGTAGAAGGACTTCTTCTCTCCATGGGACTACCAGCATATGATAGTAAGGATTGGAGACTTTTTATTGACAGTTCTAAAAGGAGCTTGAAATGTGTTCTTCTTCATAACGGAAACAAGTATGGTTCAATTCCAATCGGACATTCTGTACAAATTAAAGAAGAGTATGAAAACATTAAGACTGTTCTACAGAGGTTGCAATACCATGCTCATGAATGGTTAATTTGTGTGGACTTGAAAATGGTAAACTTTCTATTGGGCCAGCAAGGAGGGCACACAAAATACCCCTGTTTTCTGTGCTACTGGGACAGCAGGGCTACAGCAGACCATTGGGTGAAAAAGAATTGGCCACCAAGACATAGTTTGACGCCTGGTGACAAGAATATCATTAACGATCCTCTGGTTGACAGGAAAAACATTGTCCTTCCTCCTCTGCACATAAAATTTGGTATCATGAAGCAATTCGTCAAGGCTCTTGATCATAGTGGAGAGTGTTTCAGATATATATGCTCAACCTTTCCAAGTCTTAGCGACGAGAAGAAAAAGGCAGGGATTTTTGATGGACCTCAAATAAGAACACTACTCAGAGATCCACACTTCCTTGCAACAATGACTGAGGCACAGGCAACAACTTGGAATGCTTTCTCTAATGTGGTGTGGAACTTCTTAGGGAACAAGAAAGCGGATAACTATCAAGAAATTGTGGAAGAGCTGCTCTTGAGTTTACAAGCACTTGGTTCACTACTTACACAGTCACTTGGACGAGTTTCCAGAAAATCTGGGAGAAGTGAGCGAGGAGCAAGGGGAGCGCTTTCATCAAGACATTAAAGTAATGGAAGAACGTTACCAAGGTCGATGGGACTCGAATATGATGGCGGAATACTGCTGGAGTTTGATGAGAGACATTCCAGAAGCTGTACATAAGAGATCGGCCAAAAAGAGGAAGTTTATGTAACTGTAACTTGATCTTAATACTTGCACTATTTCTACCGTATATTAATTGGTTTTTTTCACCCTTCAATGTTACATTTAAATATTATATGTGCATTAACTTTCCAATTTGATATTAACAATTTTTGGTTATAGAAAAATACAAATTATAATGCTGAAAAAATTTATGTATACATGTTTAAACCGTCAATTTTGATCCAAAAGTTTACGTTTCCCAGCAAAAGTGCAATATGGTATATCTCAAAAACCTCATGTGATAGACAAAAACCAAAGTCATATTTGGATTCTGCACCCCAAATTTACTTAAAATCCGTTTAAAAACCTTGTGCCAGAAAAATTGTGTTGACCGGTGTAATAGTTAAACCTTGTTAATCCAGAAAATAATCTTGTCTGGGTGATCTTCATCACTCCCAGTGTAATGCATATGAGAATGAAAACACATGTCATTATTGTTGTTTGACGTAAGTGCAGAACACAATTAGCAGTCATAATTGACTGAAGTGATATTGCTTTGTAAATAACCCAAATATCAATGTAAAGTCTGCAATGATATCAGGCGCGAGTGTATGACGAGGCACACGAACGTGCCCTGATTCAAGAGTGGTGGAAACGAACGCAATTCAAATTACCTGAATAAGCAAGATGTCGGAGATTGGGTATATTGATGACATGGAAGGAGAGTCGGACCTAGATAGAAGCAAACATTTTGACCTAATGACAATGGATCCGCCCACCGAGGTATAATCAGAGAGTGGTGAAACAGGAAATGAGCTTGCAATACCAGGAGATCCACGGGAAGGTCACAGTAGGGAATTGTATTATCAACAAGCAGTGGCCAGAGCTGAGAGGCAGCAAACCGAGCCCTGCGAGAGCTTAAGGCAGGGTGGATGAAAACGATGCACACTGGAATGGTGGCAGGTCAAGAGACATCAGCACTAACACGAAGAAGTGACAGCTCACAGCCTTCGACAGAGATCTCCAGCAATTATGAGAAGCCAATAGTACGGGAAGAAACCCAGCAACAGGCATCGGTCAATGTCGAGAAAATGGCATCGAAAATGGCATCGTCTTTACCGCCAATGCTTGCAAACAAAGCGTCTCAAGTCACAATTATGCATCCACAGGGAGAATCAGAGAAGGGTGAAGAAATAAGAGAGCTAGTGGCTACGATGCGCATGCCGCAAGCCACCCTTCCCAAGTTTAAAGGACAAGGGCGGGCGGAGTTTTGGACCTTTATGCATGCCTTCCATCGATACATGACAAATGCGGCCGTGCCAGAGAAGTACAAGTACCAACTGCTCATGGATGTTTGTGAAGGAGAAGAGTTACATCAAGCAATCATGGGATACGACTATCTAGAGCCAGACAGAGCCTACAACAAGGCAATCAAGATCCTTGAGGCAAGGTTTGGAGATAAGTATGCATATGCGGACCAGGTGGTAAAAAGGCTCATAGACGCTCGCTCAGTGGGGGCGTTCGACGACGAAGGGCTGCGAAAACTGGCATCTCAGCTATGGGGTGCAGTAAGCCATCTGGAGAATCTGAACTTGATGTCTGAACTTGAAACAAGGCAGACCTTCAGAACGCTGGTGATTAAGCTTCCCCCCAAATTGAGGGGACGCTGTGTGGATGATGTACGAAATTATCAGAAGTCGACAGGACACAGAACAGGGCTGGTGAAGTGGTTAGCGCTATATTTGGAGGAGAAAGCGGTGACGATGGATGACATGGCTCTGCTATCAAGCGAGGACAGTCAAGAAGGAAGTAAGAAAAGACCAGAAGGATCATCGTCAAGCAAACGTGCCGTGGGCCTAGTGACTATCAGTGAAGCGAAAGGCAATGGAAAAGGCTCGTGCCCAGTGTGTTCCAGAGCACATGGATTAGCAGGGTGCGACGAATTCCGGAGCATGTCAGTGAGGGAGAGGTTAGAGAGGGTAAAAAGATTACGTTGCTGTTTCTTGTGTCTGAAAGTGGGCCACCTTGTTGCTGAGTGTTGGTCACGCTTCAGGTGTGGCACTGATGGATGCAAAGAGAAGCATTCTAGGCTGTTGCATCAAGAACGAAGGGAGGCACTTACTGCAAGTATGTCAAACACACGCAAGGGTGGCGTAAAGCGAAATTTTCAAGGTCTCGTGAAACAGGAGTCAGTGGCAGGCACCTCTGATGGTGGCATGGCCCAGAAAGCCAACGACAGTTCGTACATGGCCGGAAAAATAGGCCATGTCTATGCTACAGGGACAAAGGACGCCCATGAAAACCCATACAGCTGCGAAAGCGACATCTGACTATCTAAGAAAAATGCCAAGATTGTACTGCCCATAGTGAGTGTGAAGATTCGGGGAAAGGACTCACACCAACGAAATCACATCAGAACTTTAGCTCTCTTGGACTCAGGCAGCGACAGGTCATATTGCACCAAAGATCTGGCACAGAAACTAAGGGTGAAAGGGACACCTACCCTGGTAACCATGGGTACACTTGCCCAAGAGATGATACTCGAGTCAGCGGAGGTAGATCTAGAAGTGGTTGGCGCAGGCATGAAACGAGGCAGAACCCTACTTATGCCGAAAGTACTCATTATACAAAATTTCCCCACAACGCTGCACAACTCCGTAGCGAACACAAGTGATATCTCAAGGTGGACCCATCTGCGAGGTGTGGAATTACCAGAATTGCAGAGCAACAGCATAGAAATTCTGATAGGACAAGATGTGCCACAGGCCCTGGTACCCTTGGAGGTCAGAGCAGGAAGGGATGGAATGCCATTTGACATAAAAACGCGACTGGGTTGGACAGTAAATGGACCGGTGGGGCACCAAGACCAAGACGCACAAGGAGTTTGCATGTCAGGATGCCTAATGACCGAAACTGTCGTGAGTCCTGAAACCAGTCTGGAAAGACAAGTTAAGCTTTTTTGGGAGCTGGAAAGTGGGGACACAGGAGCCTTGCAGTCAGCAGCTCATTCACTTGAGGACAAAAGAGTGTTGAGGCTATGGTCAGAGACAGGCATCATAACTAATGGTCATTACCAATTTCCCATACAGTTCCGTAATGAGAACACGGAACTCCCAAACAACAAGGCCGTGGCGGAGCGTCGACTAGATGGGCTTCGAATGAGACTATCCAAGGACGCACGGCTGCAACAAGGATACGCAGAGGAAATAAATATACTGCTTGCTAAAGTATATGCTGAATCAGTGCTTAAGTGCCAGTTGGAGTCAGATACTGGACTGGTCTGGTATCTGCCTCATCAAACGGTGTTGAACCCAAATAAGCCAAACAAAGTACGCATAGTTTTTGACTGTGCAGCCAAACACAAAAGGACATCGCTGAACGACCAGGTACTACAAGGTCCAGACTTCAACAACAAATTAATTGGAGTCCTGTTTAGGTTTTGCCAAGGAACTACAGCCATCATGGCAGATGTGGAGGCTATGTACCATCAAATCCATGTAGCGCCAGAACATCGAGATGCGTTAAGATTCCTCTGGTGGGAGAATGGGGACCTGAGTAGAGAGCCAGTAACTTACAGGATGAAGGTGCACATCTTTGGTGGGGTGTGGAGCCCTTCATGTGCAACTTACGCTCTCCGACGCACATTCCAAGACCACAGATCCGAGTTTCTCGACATGGTGGCGCAAGTGGAAGTCAACTTCTACGTTGACGACCTGCTCATGTCGCTGGACTCATCAAATGAAGCATCAATGTTAGCGTGTCAGCTTCGAAGACTGTTGGCGTGTGGAGGATTTCGGTTAACTAAGTGGGCCAGTAATCACAAAGGAGTGTTGGCTACCATCCCACCGGAGGAGAGGGAAAATGCACTGAAGGAAATTGATCTGAAGCAAGATAAATTGCCAATGGAGCGAGCCCTGGGAGTTAGGTGGCTCTTAGAAGGTGATCAGCTCGCCATCAAGGTGCAACCAAACTCAAGGCCAGCGACCAGGAGAGGAGTACTAAGCCTGGTTAGTTCTATTTATGACCCACTGGGGTTCGTGGCCCCATTCATCATCAGGGCAAAAATATTATTTCAGTGTGAATGCAGGCGTCGATTAGGGTGGGGACGAACCTTTGTCGGCTGTTAATCACACGACCTGGAGCACCTGGCTAGGAGAACTGGCCCATCTAGGGAAATTAAGGGTACCCAGATGCCTAAAAACAGCATGTGCTAAAGAAATCATCTCAGCACAGTTGCACACCTTCTGCGATGCTGCTTACGGTGCGGTGACCTATCTGAGAATGGTAGACTCTGGCGGAAGTATCCAGTGCTCTTTCGTGTACGGACGGGCCAAGCTGGCCCCACCCAAGCAACTGACAATACCAAGGCTGGAACTTTGTGCAGCTGTCCTGGCAGTGAACGCTGATCGAACGATTCGCCGAGAAATGACCATGACCATACACGAATCTTATTATTGGATGGATAGCATGCTAGTCTTGCAGTACATCGCCAATTCGAGCAGACGATTTCAAACGTTTGTAGCCAACAGGATAGCAGTCATACAAGAGCTGTCAAGAACTGACCAGTGGAGACATGTCGGCACATCGCTGAACCCAGCAGATGATGCAACTAGGGGATTACCTGTCCTGGACCTGGTTGCAGGATCTCGGTGGATACGAGGTCCTGACTTTCCACTCAGTGTTGAAGAACGGTAGCCAAAGGGAAAGGAACTGCCAGCAGTTCTGAACGACTTACTGGAGGTGAAACGAGAAGTACACCAGAGATCTGTAGTTACTCTGGCAGTGAGCGAGCAGTCAAAGTGGTCCCTCGCCAAACTGTGGCTCAGGTACTCATCATGGTACCGCTTGGTGAAACGGGTGGCATGGATTAAAAGGTTCATTTGGTGGCTTGGGTCCAGTACAAGGACCGCAGACCTACGCCTCAAATTGAAAAGGCTAAACACTGAGGAACTACAGTCGGCTGAGCAGACAATTATAAAATTGGTGCAGAAAGAGACTTATGAGAAAGAAATCCAAACTGTCATAAAGGGTGAGCTGCCGAAGGACAATAAGCTATATAAACTGGAACCTTACTTGGACGAGCGAACGTTGCTCAGATCAAAGGGAAGAATTAAAGGAACCCTTCTTGGGCGAAGTGGTGAGGAGCCAATCTTGCTGCCTAGAGACCACCACATCACCGAAATCATAGTGCGGGAGATGCACGAAGAGAGAGCCGGACATGCCGGACGAGAACACATGATGGTGTGTGTGAGGCAAAGGTATTGGATTCCCCAGGGCAGACGCTTGCTTGATAGAATCATATGACGCTGTGTAGTGTAACGACGGAACAACTGGAGAAGTCGGCATCAAAGGCAAGCTGACTTACCAATAGATCGTGTCACTCCTGGAAAGGCTCCATTTGCTTACACTGGAACGGACTGTTTTGGTCCATTCATTACCAAGGTAGGGAGGAAACAGGTTAAGCGCTGGGGATGTCTGTTTACATGTCTAACTATTTGGGCTGTTCATCTAGAAGTCTTGGCCTCATTTGATGCAGATGCCTTCCTCAACGCACTAACAAGGTTCTCACGGCGCAGAGGTACACCAGAGCGTATTAGGTCGGATAATGAGACAAACATGGTACGGGCAGCCAAAGAACTTAAACTGGCAGTGAAAAGTTGGAAGCAAGATGACAGACTCAGAGGTGCCTTACTGAAAGCAGATATTGACTGGGTCTTCAATTCACCAGCTGCCCCATACATGGGGGGAGTATGGGAAAGGCAGATTCGCACAGTAAAGAAGGTTCTGCAGGCGATTGTGGGCTCACAAGTTTTAGACGATGAACGTCTGCAAACACTGTTCTGTGAAGTGGAAGCCATAGTTAACGAGAAGCCAATCACCCGGTTCCAAACACTCCAAATGAACCAAAGGCTCTTACGCCTGCTGATCTTTTGCACTTAAGTAAAAAGGGTAATCTTCCCTCAGGTGGAAGGTCAATAGGCGAATCATACCACAGAAGGTGGAAGCATATCCAGTACCTTGCAGATCAATTTTGGAAGCGCTGGCTGACAGAGTACCTCCCTCAACTCAGAACTCGACAAGTGCATTTCAGACCACGGCGCAACTTTCGGCCTGGTTACCTAATCATTATAGCAGAAGCAAATAGTCCACGCAACAAATGGCACCTTGGTCGAGTGATGGAAGTCAAGGCTGGCGAGGATGGACTTAACCGACAGGCAGTGGTTCAGACGACGACGTCCACAATTGTTGAGACATTCGACATGCGCACCGTGAAACGTCAACAAAGGCTGTGAGTGAGCTCTCCCTACAATTCCCAATTCTGATGAATTTAGTGAGACGACTACCTTCAGTCTGTTTAGAGAACTAAAGTGGAGCCCAGTTGTAAGCACAGTGTCGCTTGTGAAATTTATAGTTGTTGGACTTAGACAATATTTTAGATAAAATATCTGGACTTCCTGCCTGGACCATCTGGTCGGTTATTTTCGTAACTGCGCATGCGCAGTGCGAAGAGCGTGACGTTGAATGACGTGGTAGTGACGTCGTTGCCTCTCCATCTCGCCTGTGACCGAACACAAGTATTGCACAATGCCTGGGGAGAGTGGTGGGCAGAAACCTATGAAGGCTTTGGCTAAAGTAGAAAAGATTGCCCTACTGAACAGCTTAGAAGACGACCTGAGGCTTTCAAGTAGTGAATCAGAAGCAGACAATCCGCGGCCAACAACAATAGCAGTGATAGACAATTTTCAAGAAGTGATTAGTAAGAAAGAAAAGAAGAGGAGGCGAGAGGAGGCGAAGAAAAGTGAAGGAAGTGACAGTGATGAGATCATGAGTGGTAGGAAGAAAAGGACGACACACACAGAAGGAAGCAGAAAGAATTCAACTGGGAATAAAACACAGCAGGTCTTGACTGAATCCAACACCCTTCAAGAGTCAGACCCCAGTGATTATGACAGTGACGGTAATGTTTCTATGGGAAACACTAGCCACAGTGGAAACAGCAATGCCATGGACCCTATCACCCTGCCCTCTGCCAAACAAACAAGTAAGCTGAATCTCCACTTTCCCAAGGACTCATTAAAATCTGTCGAGGATCGGTTTAATTGGATGATGAAGTACTGCAGACAGCATGGTCCCAACATTCAATTCCGACAGGGTAAGAACCGGAACTTTATCAAGTGTCAGACTCCTGAAGTCTATAAAACCCTTAGTACTGTTGGCTTTGACGGGGTTGTCCTAGTGGCCCCCCCAGCAGACGCTGATGAATGTTGCCACATCCTAGTGAAACGATTCCCCCTATACGCTGACATCGAAGATGCACGTGACTTTAATT